TGTTGCCATGGAAATGATGCTTATGCTGTCGTAAATAAAAGTATTCCAGGGTCACCAGGGTCTGCAGCATAAACAGGGGTACAAATACTGCCTGGAAAAGTGCCAGAGTGGTTTAAACATATAGGAAGATAATTTTAATGTTATTTTGCTTTCACTGTTATCGTCAGAAGGACTGATGAAGGTTAACACATAACTATAACCTTGTCACAAAAGCGAAGCAGAAAAAGTCTTAGCTATTGGCAATACCAACAGAGTAGAGAAAACCATATCATAGCCCTTCTGACCAGTATTTTCCAGCTCAGTCAGAGCAGTGTTCCTTTCCCATTGTATCTCTCTCAATTGTATATTCATTCTGAGGCAGCTTTATTGAATTCATGAGCAGAGCACACGAGAGCTCAGGAAAACCAATTGATGTTGTAAAATGCTGTGTCATGGGCTACCTGATGATGCAGTGAATATTCCCTGATCCTCCAGATACATTCCCAGGAGCAATCACTGGAAATGGGCCTTTTCCTTGGAGAGGAGACACCTTTGAAGAAGATCCTGGCTGAGGGAAGGAGCCTGTGTGCCTGTCACTGCTTCTGTCCGAGGGCGATGGGAAACAACTCCATGCAGGACCAAGAGCCAGCACTGACACTGTTTCAAAGGAGAAATCCAGAGGCCAGCAACAGAGAGGGTTTGGGATGTGTCAGTTCATGTGAGTTTTTCAGGAGGAAAGCAGGCAGTTACTGTTTCTGGTGGGTTCTTAACTGTTCAATGGACTGCTCAATGGCATTAAATGGGCCATGCCGTGAAGCTGCCTTGGGCAGTATCAGATCAAGGATACACGCTTTTCTCTTTGTGTTTTTAATACCCACACAAGCATTTAGAGCACAGGCAGTCACTTTAAATAAAACTACAGAGATTGCAAATGCCACAGCTTGCTTATTTACTTACTGTCTCTTAGTCTGCCCAAAATGTGGAAATAATGTTTCCAGAGATGCTGGAATTCATGTGCCTGTTGAGAATCCTGGCTCCTGTCCTGGATGATATTGCATATTCAAGGGATGATTCACTCACTCCTGAGAGGGAGGATGGACTGTACCAGCTGTACCACCTCTCCATGGCTGACTGACAGCCTGGTGATGTTTCCACAAGGAAGCCTCGTGCCTCCAGGTTAAGCCAGCAATTATGGAGCAAACAAAAGAGAAGTGAAATGGAGAGATGAATTGCAGAGAGACCAAATAAAAGAGAATTGGAAAGGTCATGCCAAGCCAGACTGACAACAAAATTTTCATTTGTCTCAGACCAAAATATATAGACAGGATTCTGCATTTCTTTTTTGTGCAAATTAACAATGTCCTTCACCATCTGCAAGGGAGGATTCAGGAGGAACCAGCTCAGGTTTCAGGGTTTTGCCACCCCACTCCCGTGAAAGGGTGGTAAAACACACAGCCAGCAGCCCTTGGTTGAAGGCAAGACCCAAAGCTAATACCCTTGACTGCTCCATAAACTGACTTATAAGTTCAAGAAATAGGTTTATCCCTTTTGTACTCTAATTTTTTTAAACATTTCATCCCTGCTGGGACAGGAACTGTGTGGGATACGGGGCTGATACCATGCACATTACACACCTCGCCGTAGATTTATCACAGAAGGGCTGGCCAAGGCTTTGAAGGCAGCTGACGGCTCCCAGCTGGCCAGGAACTCACTCGCGTGGCCTCTGCCGCTTCCTAATGGGAACAGGGTGGAAAAGCCGGGCTCAAAGGTTGCCCAGAATGACTAAGAGAAAAAAAATTCCTCCTGCCACTCCTGTGCTAATCAAAGGGGTGTGGAGAAGAAGTTTCGATTCCTCATGTCCCGCACTGCCAAACGGAAAAAAGATAAATATATATATATATATATGCAAATTACACAGCCAATTCCTGTATTAAGGAAGAAGGCTTCATGCCATCAAAATCAGTCTTGAAATAATCTTGCTTGTGGCATATAGAAACTGAGCCAGATAGCCCAAGCTCCCTTAAAGCGCTTTTCAAACACACCTAATCTGTTTACTCCGAGCTTTTACTGCTGGTGGTACCTGGGACTTCGCCTCTGAGATTTCCAACAGTCTGTGATCTTAGCAGGTCAAAGTTTCCAAAGGTGGGGAGAAGAGGCAATCCCTTTCCCTGCCTGTACAAAAGGTATGTGCCTCTGAGCTACCAATTTAGAACCAATGAATCAGAAATAAGTAACATAAAAACCGTCTCACACTGATGTTTACAGAGCACCTCCTCTGAGCAGACAAAAGCGTGTGTCAACAGGGAAACTGCCATGTAGAGCTTGCATGGCAAGCGGCTCAGTGTATTTAAACAGCTTTTGCAGAGATGTTAACACGTTGCTAGGGAAGCAGGAACCCTTGTGGATAAAGGTGCCCTCCTGCTCCAAGACCCGCTGTCCGTACAATGGGAAAATGGAGCTGCCCCGGCACTCACCGCATTTTGTTTACAATCTTTGCAGCTTAAAAAAAGGCAGAAAAGGCAGTTCTTCCAGCGACTGATTAATGGTCCTTCTGCAGAAAAATGTGCATTTTGCACATATTTAGAAATCTTGAACTAGATAACACTCTGACCTAAAATATAAAAGGTTCATTTTTTCTCTTCTGATAGTGTCTGACATTTGTACATTTTAATACCTTATTTTTGAAAAAAGTCTTTTCTAACTTGAAGAACAAAGTGGCCAGGCTCTGGATGCATGTGCAACCCCTGCACGTGTGTGGCCAGTGGGTGCTCTGAGCACATCACTAGACCAGCTCTAGGACACACTGACACATCTCAGACCACCAGGAGAGATGTCCCAGTCTGGCACCAAGGGGCCCAGGGAACGTGCCCGGCGCAACTCCCATTCCCATGGTGTGTGGTCCCTGGGGTAATCAATGTCATCCCCTGCCTGTGAACCATTCCCCAAATTTTACCTTCCTCAGAATGCTCCATGTGTGTGATATGAGACTGGGTTATATTAAGCCCACAGCTCAAAGGACCAGAGACGATGGCTCCCATGGGCACATAGCAACTACGCCACAGAGAGAGTGAAAAATTCAGGGAACAAGTGGCACTGTAATCTATCTTACCTACCCGGAATAGATCTATCCATGTACTGATCTCTATAAACACACCCTTTTCTCCATATGGGTGGGTATATATTTATATGTACCAGCCTCAAAATACCAGTAAGTTTTTATTAGCCCCATTTGCAGATGGGGTGATGATGACAGACAAAGTGCTATGATCCCTCTGGACTGCTCCTCCTTGGGAGGGGAGAGTTGGGGTCTTCTCTCTCTAGGAGAGGGAAGAGAGGGAGGTGAGTTTTCCCAAATCCCAAACAGCTCCTTGATGCAGCGATCTTGCTCAGCTCTCACTTTGAATCACGCTGGCAAATAAACATGAAAGTGAAAACGGTATTGTGAGATAGTTATGCAAGAGCGGGCGGATCCCGGGACTGAGCCATTGTTCCAAACGTTTAATTAACATTATGAAAGCTGATTAAAGGAAAATCTTTAACCTCCAGGGAAATCCCATTTTCCCTCACTTCCCATACCACTGTAATTTTCACAATGTAAGAAGGAAAGTGTTATTTCAAGGCATGATTCATATCAGCTACAACCTGATCTTTGCCACAGCCATGTCCTGCAACTTAAATAATTACTAGCAGTGACACCAGACAGGGACACTTCTGAGACAGCATTTTTCCCCCGTTATCCCATGACCTGAATTGCCATCATAATTTCTAGACTTTGTGTCATCCTGGCACGATGACAAGTGTTCACCCACGCTCCAGAACTAAAAGTTAGTTCACAAGGACAGTGATACCTACCCAGACACAGCATCTCAGATACAAAGTGCGAATGACACGCCGCAGTCCGGCGTGGTAACAGCAGGGACTGTTTGCTTTGGTCACTGCAGCAAATTCCTTTGGAGGCAGGAAACTGAAGCACCATCTCCAGTGACTCCCCATCTAACCTTGAGAAAATAACCTACCCTTTCTCCTCTTTTGGAAGTGAGGATCAAGGCAGTGTTATCTCTCTGGGTACTGCAAACAATAATGAACATAACTAGGCAGTGGAGATGTTTAGGTGGAAATTGCTATTGTAAATTATGTTAGTGGAGAGATTTGTGTTCAGCTGTGGCGGGTCTGTGAGGAAGCACAGCCCCCCAGTACTCAGCTGTGTATGGGTGGCACGTTGCCTCTCTGCTCTCCTGGGACTATTTTAATTATATGTCACAGCCAGACCATCAGAGACCTAATCCCAGGATCTAATCTTGGAGGCAACAGACAGCTGACTGTCTGCACAGTGTACTCAGAGAAGCACCCTTGGGGCTGCAGTGGGGGTGATGCACCCACCCCACATGCAGAGCAGGCACCTGCCCAGGGGCAGCCCTGATCATCCACCTGGACAGGGCACCACAAGCTCCTCGACATCTCTGTCAGGGATGGCATGTGACTGCCATCAGGGAGACACCATGGCCCTGGGTCCTCCCCTGGTTAACAAGAGCCTGGGTGGAGGCTGCATCTACAGACACCCAAATCTAATTCTTGAGAACACACATGACTGCAGTCCTTTCCAAGCATCAGGCTTATATAAATACATACACATATAAATACATGATAAAAATACAGCCTCTGGCAGCAGGAACAGTCTCGTACACAGATCTTCAATAGTTCTTCCCATCTGTAGATCCTGCAGGATAAAGACATCGCAGAACTTCAGGGACCGTTCTGAAAATGGAAATTATTATTTTTTTCCACTGTTGTCTATGTGTGCCTGATGCAAAAACTATTTTAATTATGACACAAGATCATACTCACTACTCTGACTATGAAGAATAGGCATCACTTTTGTGCAAATCGAGACATTAGTAAAGTAGAAGCTTTATTTACAGCATGAAATTCCTCCTACAAAAAGCACTAGAGGTAAACCAAATTCACAGAGTGAATACCAAATGTATGAAATTTGGACTCAATGAAAGGCAGACAGCTGGGTGTTCTGATAAAAATGGGCCTTTATTTTTTAATTCTTCTTTTCATTACCTGGATTCTGTGTTTGTCAGAGCAACAAAATATAGTTTCTTTGATATGCGGCAAATCTGAAAACAATCCTGCAAATAGCACAACACAAAAACTCCCACAAAAAAAAGGGAAAGCTATAAAATTTGAGAGGCGACGAGGCTTTCAGAAGTGCCAGTTTCCCAGTGCAATGGCTGGAAGGGTGGCCTGGCCTGGCGGCAGTTCAATCATTTTGTAACGAAGGACAAATACTTTCAACATCCTGAGAAAGAGGGCGGGGGGACGGGGGCACGGCTCCCTTGCTTTCCCTCCTCCTGCTATTCTTTCTCCTCCCTCCCCCTACCCCTTGGATTTTCAATAGCTCTTTAGTGTTTCCATCAAAGGCTTTTACCATTCATCCTCCCTTCTGGTGCCTGCCTTCCACCTGTCTATCCATCACAGCCCTAACCCAGGTCCTTTTTTTTCCCCCCGGGCTTTGCTATTTTTCACGCGGGGGGATTTGTTTATAAGCTTCTGTATTACCTAAACTGGAGGGGAAGAGGCTGCTGGGAGAAAAGTGAGAAAGCAGGATTAAGGAGGAATAATTCAGCTCCATTGCATTTCCATCTGAACGGTCATAAAATGTGCAAATCCTGTTCCTGGGAATTTCATGTCAGAGGCCTTCTCTGCCACTGCCCTTCCCGTGCCCCTTCTCTCTTTCCCTCTCAGGCAAAAACAAGTGTTGGGAAAGATGCCTAGAACCCCACGGACACCAAAAAGCCACAATGTGTGTGCTGGCAGGGAGGAGGCTCCTACCAGCACGTGTGCAGGGAGACACTCCAGATGTGGCCATAAACCGCAGACAAGGGGCTGGGAGGCTGCAGGGATTGAATTGGGCAGGACAGCAGGAGCAAGGAGGGGAAAGGCAGCTCCCAACACCCCCAGCTGTAATTAATGGGCCTGGGTAAAACACAAAAATGACCTTTCAGGCTTGTTCGCTCTGTAAGAAAATCATACAGAAATATGTGATTCAGACCCCAGCAGCTTGAAGAGTTTCTACTATCTCCTTTTTAGCTCGTCACCATCACAAGGCACCAAGATAGACACAGGCCAGCTTTCCAGATCCCAGAAATCCACCAAAAATCCACCTGTCATCAAACTGTGAGGCAGAAGAAGGACCACTGCTGTATACAGGTCAATGCAGATTTGTCATTGATTCAAGCAGAGGTCAGCGTGGCTGGATGTGACCTCTGTGCACACTTGCTACCTGGCCAAACACTCTCAGAACAGCAAGTAGTGTTAAAAAAAGAGAAAGTCCTTAATCTGCTCTCAACCCCAGTGATTTTCTTGGTGGAAATCCATGTAATATCTGCTGGACCTGGCAACAGCTGGCAGTTTTCTTCCATTTATGGACACATCCCAAAGATACTGAGGATCACCCAACAGGTAGCACATGTCAAAATAAGTTCCTTTGATTGATAGTTATTTATTATTTTTAAATAAAATGAGAATAGATTGAGTGGGTTGCCCATCAGCAGCTCAGTTCTTTGTTTGGCAACTTCTTGGACAGTTGGACCATACATATGACAACACAAAATAAATTTCACTCGCTTGCAGTAGCAGTTGGCTATAAATTCAGTCCATTGATGATTTATAGTTCTAGCAGCAGTGAGATATATGAAATGAGAAGCCCTTTCATCCTTAAAGTGCTCTGCAGTCTGGTGGGGATGATGAAAGCCATTGTTCCTAAGGCCAGAGGAGAGCAGGAGTTCATTCAGCCGGTCCGGCTGTGGTTGGAGGAGGTGAGCAAACCGGATCCAAAGACGAGAGGAGGCCTAGAGAAACAGCAGCCCTTGGTTTTGCAGAACAGCCAAACAGAAATCCTTAATGATGCTATCCTTGCTTTGCAGGCTGGAGGGGAGCAGTATTTCCATCAACTAAATGATCTCAACTCTTTGGCTTCCCTGAGGGCACTACAACAGGACAGACTGTGATCCCTCACCAGAGTCGCTCTCAGATGTTTGTGTTCTTCCCACCCACCAGCAGCCTCGAACCTGAGCATGTCTTTGGCACAGCAGGTGGTATCCTTAATCCTGTGGAGGGCCAGCCCCAAGCAAAGATTAGCAGAAGAATTTGTTTTCATTAAAATCCAACCCACCATTACCATCCTCTCTGACGGCTTGGTTTTAAAAATGCGCATGTCCAGCTATTCTAGCAGTTCTGTTTCTGCAGGGAAAGGGCAGTTCAGCAACCTGCCTCTTCACTTTCTACTGTCTTTCCTTTAATCAACAAGTAAATAAGGCAGACACAGTGAGGAATATTAAATACACCTACTCCTGGAGAATTCTGTCAGCAAGATCAATGAAACTGGGATTTTGCCCTCATTATGTTTCTTTTGTCCATGGAACTGGTCTGATTTTCCTCCCAGTGAAATTTTTTTTATGAAAAAAAAAAAACAGAAACAACAAAAGAGAAAGACACATAAAAATAAACACTAATAAGTGCAGGAAAAAAAATAAAACTTAGCACCATGCACTCCCCTCATTATTAGACAAAGGTTGGGAAGGGTTCAGAAGTGTAAAATGCTCATGTGAATTATGAGATTACTGCTCAGTTTTCTTTCAAGTCGTGGGCTGGAAACAGATGGTGGCTGTAGCATTTATGACGGCACAACATGTTACTGCAAGCCTAGCCATCTCTCTCTCTCCTCTCAAAAATGCAGCTGCAAGGAAAGTTGTGGAAAATCACATTAATAGTCTCTTCCACCACACAGTTTTCCAGCCCTTCATCCCTGGCCAGCACATGGACAGAGCCATCTTGTATCCTAGCAAGAATACTCTTCTAATCCCTATCCTGAATAGTTACCACTGACCGGCTTATTTAACAGCTAGTTAAAATGTGAGGTTTGTCAGCATCGTAAAAAAGCCTCCAGAAAGCAGGTCCTTAAGGTCAGAGCAGATGCCATGTGACCCCAAGCGCTCCCCATGGGAAACGCTCAGAAAGAAGTGATCAGACTGTCCTTCAGCTGTTTATTATTTAAACATCCAGTTCAGGCCAAGCAAGCTGATTTATAGAAAAGCAGAAAGACAGATACAACACTTGCAAAAGCATCTCTGAGACTCAGGAGTCCAAATCTCACTTTTCAAGCAAGAGTAGAAACTTTCACAAGGGCAAAGGCCTCTGGATTTTTAGCAAGACAGCCTTCCAGTGACCACATGTTTAGAAGTATCTGGGGCCCTGAAGATACAAAGAGCAACTAACCCCATATTTAAATATCTTGCCTGCACACAGGGAAAAAATGTTCAAGCTTCACTGCCCATGTGCTTCAGTCCTGATGGAAATGCTCTGCCACCTAAAATATGTTCATACATAAAGCAAAGCTATCCTTACAACCTGAGTGAAATACAGGAGCTGGCAGGTGGACACATCCCCCGTGGTGGAGAACACAAGGTAACCAGCATGTGTGCAATAACTGCATGTGACAGAGGTGCACCCAGCTCCAGGTGCTGCTGACCTGGGGACAGCACGTCTGGACTTGAAACCATGAGCTGAGCCTGGGGCACAACCCCCCAGCTCTCGAGGCACCATCGAGGGGCCTCCTTACACCACGGAGCTCTTCAGACAGTAGAAAACTGTTACCTGCTGTCCTTAGGATTTCTGTGTGCTTTACAAATGTTAAATATTCCCATACCACAACACCTCTGAGCAGCATTAACTCACTAACAGTAAACCCAGTAGCTGGGGATTCCAAAATCAGGATTTTACAATTACCTGTCCATTTCAGTTAATTAAGGCTCTGCCAAATAATAATTTTCCAGACAAGTGTCACTGGAAAATCTGAGTGTCCATTTTGCTGGCCTCACTACCTGATTGGGAACATCAGCATCAACTTTACACGTTCACCCTTAGTCACCCAAGTTTGTGTTCCTGCCACCCTGCTCACTGCCAGCCATACACAGGGCAGCACTTCTGCCCTCTGGGGTGTAGAACAGAGCAACTGAAAACAACATAGACTTTTACCATTCCCTTTATCACTTTTAACAGCTAGACCAGGAAGTTGCTGCAGAAATTCAATAGTGTACACACTTGAAACTCTAAATAGCCTTTTCCCAGAGATAGACTCCATCCAGGTGATATGACCATACATATCCACTGCATATCTGTCATAATTGCAAAAGCTCTCAGACCTTTCCTCTAAGATAGAGAAGGTGCCATTTTATTTTTCTTTTGGAAACCTCATCCTGCAGAATTCATTAGTATCCTATGTAACAATGTACTTCCTGTAAGTAATGAGCCATAAAGTGTATTAGAAGTTTCCACTTCTGGTTTTATCTTTTCCTGATCTAGCCTGAAAATTCTTTTGAAGTTCCTCAAAGTGTTCTTCATGTATGCTTGTTTTAGGAAATACCAGATCACTATGGGCAAACTTCTCCTTAATTAAGTGAGATAAAGGAATCAAGATGATATGATCTACTTAATTTCCCACCTTTTTAAGGTCCCATTTTAAGATAGTTTTCTCACTTAAAAAAAGGAACATGCTACAGAAAATAAGGCAGGAATATACCTTAAGAGGCCCAGAGAGGGCAAGCATTGCTATGGGCTCTCTAGTGTAGCTGAGCTTGCTGGTAGGAAGCCACTGAATAGTTAAAGTTTTCCCTTGTTACTACAAAATGGTTTACTGAAAGGTTTCAGATCCTTCTGAAACAGCACCACTCCGGTCTATGCATGGGAGGAAGAGACTCAGTGGGCTCTTCAGGGGCTCAGCTTAGGAAGCCAGCTCAGGTCATGCCTAACTTTAACCACGAGTAACTTCAAAGAAACATCTCATGTCTCAAGTTCAGCTTTCCACTGTCTCTCTTGATGAATCACAACGCAGGGTATGCAGGGAGCTAATGGGAAACATTTGCACTTGCTAACCCCAGCTGCAAGGTCCCAAAACCCCATCAGCCATGCAGGCATAGCCTAACCATTTTGGATGGGCCAGCAGCCTCTTCACAACAAATGGATACAAGTTTGGACCAAGAAATGTCTTCAGTTCCGAGTGTGTGAGCATAGAGCCCTCAGCCCACTTCCTCGAAGTGCTGGAGCATCTCTCTCTCCTCCTCTGGCCTCACACAGCTGACACAGCTGGGAAAGAGACCCAGCAGCAGCAGAACAGGGCCCACAGCACAAAATCTGGCCACTTGAAACTTCCCTGGTCTTCAGTTTAAACCAGCACCACCTTTATACAGAAAACACATCTAAAGCCAAAGTGCTAAGGAAAAGATAATGGAGTGAAGAGAACTCCCCACCTGAACAGCCAGGCTGCTCCAGCAGTGAATGGGGCACTTGAAAGGTCACTGCTGGGAAGCACCCCAAACAACAATAAACAAATCTAAGGTTTGAGTGCTGCTACCTAGAGATGGAAGGTATGGTCACATCACTGGGTTGAAATCAGTCTCTCTTTGGAATAGAGACATTCTGAAGGCAACAAAAGTTTCCTGAAAGTCACATAAGAACGAATTAAAATTGGATGCCAAATCCCTTAAACTGCTGAAAAAATTACAGCTAGGGATGCCCAGCAAGTGTGGAGGGGCTCTTCATACTTCACTGAGGTCTAAAAATTTGAGTTCATCCCCAAAGGGAGCTGAGGCCGCTCAGCACTTCACCCACAGGCCCTCTGTGAACAGTCTTTTTTCTTGTGGTCAAATGGGAGCTATCTTGAATTTATGTCTTACTTCTCCCCTTGTGAGCAAACAAAACAATTTCTATGAGTAATTCTACCCGCTAATTGCCAAGGAAAAGTCTAGTAAGAAATGCTCTGCATTTTTGACAGGTCAGAGGCTTCCCTAAACAAAGTTGCTGTTTTTGTTTTCTAAAAGCACATGTTCACATCCGGGGACTTTGGTGAATTCCAGTGTGGATGAGTCTCTGTGGGAAATTGCTTTTCCCTACTTTCTTGTTTTAACTCCTCCAGGAAATGATTCTATTTTTACAACACTAAACAGCAAAATATGAAACCATTATCTGCTTTGTGGCAAGAGTTTCGGGTCAATTCTCAGGTAACTGTCACCTCCAGTGAAGTCAATGGAGTTCTATCTATTTATGCAAGTTAGTGATCTGACCAATTATGTAATGGGTTGATCAGTTACTAGAACACAGAGCTACCATAAGCCTAAGGAGTGTCTCATTTTCATGCGTCTCAAAGTTCATCCAAGCCCTGATGTATTGATGATAAGTGAAGTATTTCAGTATTATGGTCTGTAAAGATGATAATTAACTGCCGAGAGATTTAAGCATGAGCACTCTCCATGAATATCTACTTTGTCACTGAACGATCATTATAAGTAGTCTCTTTTTTGGATTCTTTTTTCACCTGGCAAATAATCCAGGGTGGGATTTTCAGTAGTGTTTAAAATGCTTTTCTTCTATTTATTTGTGATTGCTTTCCAGAATCAGTAAGTTTTCAAAATCCCCACGGGATTTCAAGCACTAAGAGCTTAACTGCATCACTGGGTGCTTTTGCTTTTTGCATCCCTGATCTTATCAGCCACCCTCAGTTTCAAAGATGGACAGTTAAACCAGTTGTCTTCATTTTGCAAGATCAAAGACAGTATATAGAGGCCAAAAAACTAAGTCTGATCTGAAGATGAGCATGTAACACTTGTTACAAATTCGGCTTCTTATTTTCTGGTTTGAGGGACCACTCCAGCCTTCATATGTGAATTTCTTTTCTTTTGAAGCACACAAGTGAGTCTGTCCTCGTGTATTTTTATCTAAGTTCCTGGAAGACAACTAGCATGCACAAGCATCGGTCCAAATGGAAATTCTGAGTTACTCAAAACTCAAACCAAGTCAGATTTGATGGCCTGCTATTGAGTCAAATATAACAGTGACTGCATTCCCCTCTAAAGAAGAAGTTAACAGCGGAAAAATGCGACACTGAAACTTTTAGTGACAGAAATTCTACCACTAGAACATGTCCAGAATTTCATCTATTGATTATGAACAACACCAAGAGTTAGCACTTCCTTACTTTCAGGTTGGGAACTAGGTATTCGTGACTTTAAACCTATTTGGAAAGCTCACCAAACGTCACTCGAGACTAACATAGAGAAAACAAACTTAGAGACAATATCTAAGGAAAACAGAACCTAACCTATGACTTGTTCTTTGATTTACAGCTCTGATTGCAGGCCCCACCTCACAGTCATATGCCATGATAATAGGCAGCAGTTCAACAAGAACCAGCAGTAACTTTTTACATGTTGTAGTGATTCTGAGCTACTTCAGCACATACTTCAGCCTGATGCAGTAAATATTTAGAGTGACTAAAGGGACAGGTGACACACCACAACTGCAAAAAGAATGACTGAGCTTTTGATCTTGTTTATTCTACCTTTTCATTAATTCTTTTTCCTAAACTAAAGTTGCCAAATTTCACCTGGAATTTGCTCCCATTAATGTTTTCCCATCTCAGATTTGTCTGTTATCAGGTACAACTGTGAGTTTTCAAATTATATTCTCTGAGGTACCCAAACAGATAACCTTAAGTGGGCTCCCTGGCATTAGTGACTGCAGTCCTGAATCCACCCCATGCCAAGAAAGTATTTTCCCCAAAAAGAACAAGTATGTAGTTCAAAATGGCAGCTTCCATGGGAGCAGAAGAGAGTGGAACTCTCCCAGCTGTCTTCCTAGTTGTATGTTCTACTCTGGGTACTTCATCTTTAAGGTTTCTTACAACATATGTCAACTCTCTGTGAGCATGAAGACCCCCAACCCACAGCTGGGAGCCTGTGTCAGGAAGGCACACCCTACTTAAAAATAAGAAAGCATCAACTCTGCTCCATTTGCCTGAGGTCAGTGGGATGTTTGTCCAAAGCTAGGAGCATGCTTAGTTTGAAGAGCAAACAGAGGCCATCTCCTAAAGTGCTTTTCCACGTTAAGGTCTGGGAAAAAAAATTTAAGATTGGGCCCGTGATAAAAACAGTTCCCTTAGGAAATGTTACCCACACCATAAAAGGAAGGAATAAAAATTGTCTACTGAATTTTTGTAAATTCCCATAAAATCTGAGTCTTGTTCTATGTGCATAATTTTCACTGTAAGTCACGAAAGGCTGACTCCTTTGAGAAGAAGGAAATGACTAGCTCATGATAGGATAAAAGGCTGCTTAATTGCATGGGCAGAAAGATGGATTTTCATCAGTCACTACGTTCTCTGACGATATGGCAGTGGCTTTTGATCATGTATCCGATGCACAGTAATTAGGCAAAATGACTTACCCTCAATCTTTTCAGTATTTAGCTCTAAGGGTGCAAGGATTCATTCTTGGAAAGGGAAGATGGTCGTGTGATTTAGGGCACTGGATGAGCACTCAGATCTGAGTCCTATCCCTGGTTCTGCCACAGCTTTGCTGTATGACCTTGCACAGTCTTTTCTCCATGCCTCGGTCTCGCCTAAAATGGGATAACAATAGTTCTTTATTTCAGAGAGATGAATACAAACCAGCTCAAGGCTGTGCTGCAGAGATGCTACAGCAAAGAGCAGCACAGAAAAGCTCAGACACAGAATAATGCCTTGCTATTAAAATGTGGGAACACAGACAGTAATTAAATTGAATAATAAATACAAAACATAGGGTGATCTTTGAGGAATGCAGCACTGATAGGCTTTTCTCTGTTACCTGATATTAAAGGAAATTTAAGTGGGATTCTTATGAGTTTACCTGAGATCTGCTAGTACTGGAAGCTGTGTATTAGAAACACCAAGAAAATTATTTCATTGAAAACCTCACATGGTGTCTGCTTTAAAGCAACCGTGATTTCCAGCCCAAGGCAGGGTCAGATAACTATTCACAGTAAGCTTTTCAAAGCTATGGAAGGGGCCTACAAACATGATTTCCTTCACTTTACAGTAAAATAAGAGCATGCAAATCTGAGGTAGCTTTGAAACGTCAAAATAAAATTCAAAACTTTTAAATTACATCATAAATGGGGCCAACTGATCCTAATTAAACTGTCAGATCTCTGGTATAGCTTCATTGCCATTATTCCAGAGTCACACTGTTGCTGGGATTGGACAGAGTTTTAGCTGAGTCTTCAGTAATGGGTGTTTTTCCAAATGCAAAGCTGAATGTTTTTCTCTCCACAAACACACGTCTACACAACAGCATCTTTCATGTGGGGGAGTGGTCAGTTATGGGCCTGCTGGTTTGGGATGTAGGATCTCGGGGCACACAGATAAGGCATTTGATCTGGGGACAAACAGATCAAAGGCTGTTCTGTCAGGCAGGAGAAAAGAGAGATGAGACGCATCTTAGGAAGGGAAAATAATTTGAGAGACAGAAACAGAGGGATGGGAAAGTCAGGCAGAGAATAACTGGAAAAGAGACCACAGAAAGGCAACATGGACCTGAGAAGGACTGGCAAGAGAACCTCACAGCTGGAATGCTGAAGCCCATTGGAGGGAGGAGACCCACAGATGGTGTTCCAAGCAGATTAAAATACCTAAGCCCAGAGGGAAAGTGGTGGAGCTGCCTAGGAACCTCCAGGGCTGGAGGGGAGCAACTGCCTGTAGTTACTGTGCACTGTCTAATAAAGCAGATGCCAGGGAGGGCAGAGGAGAGGAAAAAAGGAAAGAAAACTAGAAGTGATCACTGATTTCACTCAACAAAAGCAATTGCTGCAAGGTCTGGAAAGATGAAGCACAGAATTAAACATAATGCATTGACTGGAGAATCAGTGATCATGCACCATATTTTAACAACTGAGATTGGTTTGGGGCAGTCCTCTCTCTATGTATTTTCTGTTCAGACAAGACCTCAAAAAACAATATAATCAGATCAACAAGTTCTGAATCTCTGGACAGAGGAAGTGGCTGCACAATGTGAAACAGAAATACATTTTATCCCCAAATCACTACCTACAATGTGGAAGGACAAAACCAACAAGGTGTTACAGCATTGCATGGAAGCACGACTTATATGACAACTATCATCCTCAACTCCATTAAGCCCCCTACTAGCCCCCCACCCCACAAATAACAGAGCTGTCAGATACCTCATGGCTCCAACTGCTCACACCCTTCCCTGCAACACTCCAAATGCAGCACATTACAAGTGCAGAGGGAGTCCACCTCCAGCAGACAGCAGAAGAAGATAGGACACGGCATCCACAAATGCACAGAGAACTGTTTAATTTACAGCCACAATGGTGAAACAAACCATTTCAGAGCTTGGACATTCAAAGTTAAGTCTGACACTCATTCTTATATTCACTTATTGTGCTTAAGTATTAGAGAACACAGGATTACATTAACCGTACACGACAACCTGGGATCCCTGCGGGACCAAGGAGTGGAAGGGATGAGCAAGAATGAGGGACCAGCCCCTCAAGTGGTGTAAGCTGGTACAGCTCCATTGCAGGCAATGGAGTGATGGGTGATTTACACCAGCTGAGGATATGGCCCTTGAAATGTCCAACTTAACTTTGAATTAACGTCTCCCGTGTCACAACCTTAAACGTTACTCTTCCTTCTGGTCGTATCTGCCACTCTGAAGGACTAACCCCACAGCCTGCAACGTCGGGTAGGGTGGCGGGTAAGATCTCAGCTGGACTACAGGAAGTGGTGCTCATGTCGTGACACTACTCCTCGTAATTTATAAAAGCACGGACTGGATCCTCATCTGATGTAAATTAGCTTAGGGGCAGCTGAAGTCAGAAACATTTGCCAATTTTTATAGTAGCTGAGAATATAGCCCTGAGATTTTTGTGTTTTCTGTCACATGCTGTGTGAACACTGTGCTTGAGAACAGAGACTCGTGTGCGTTTCATTCCCCGTAACAAAATTAACTCGAGACCACAAGTCTCAAACAAACGACTACTGGAAAGGACTCCATTCAGTCTTCATTCTCCCCTGGTTTGCTGAATTTGGCATAACACATTTATTTGCTGGCACCAACAAAACACGTGCCCCTCGGCTGGCTTTGTTTGCAAGACTTTACTCTAAGGCCAGACTCCCTCGTGATGTAAATGAGCAGAGCTCCAGGATGCTCCGTGGAGTCACTCCAGGGGAGCTGGCCCACAGATCCCAACACAGCCTTCTTATGCCAGTGCAACCACAGGACTCTCAGAGAGTTGTTTTTCAAATTATTCCACTTAAGTGACTTTGACATCCTTTCATCACCTGCACAGTGTCTGAGTGGGTCACATAATGCTTTTCATTTACATGATTTTAATGGATATATGTTTGTTGGTTTTTTTTTCTTTTTTCATTAGATATCTTTTAGACAAAAAAGGAACGGAGCAACATTATTGGCATCCCACTGAAACATAAATATATAAATTACATTTTATACACTTTTTTAAACGCAGACACATACATTCATGTGCATAACATTGTGAACAGTACACTTAGTGGAAAACAAGCACAGACAATCTTAGTTAAATGTATTTCCAGTTTTGGTGCTCAACAAATACACTGGGAAAATGATCACAAAATAGAACGGTGACTAACTCTATCTCTGCATTAGCATCTGAAGCCAATAATGCCTGTTAGCTAACATTGCTTTGTTTGGTTGAAATTCGACATAGCTACAGGAACAGGAGGGGAATGTTTGAACTATATTTAGAGAAGTGGAAAGGTTAAAAATCTTGCTCTCTTTTGTTGTTTTACGGTTCTGCAGTTCATTCACATTTGAATATATTTTTGAGTGGAAAAACTGTCTTCAAGACAAACTTTTTTGTTGTTCCAAACTAAGAAAACTCTTTCATCTCTTTGCAGATGTTTCACAATAAAAGAATCCAGTAGTTCATTTTACATATCCAATGTGATAATCCAAATAAAACAAAGGGTACATAATCCAAACTACTGGGGTGGGGCAGTGATTTTGGCCAAGTGAGTAGCCATGTCATATCTGGCACAGCCCTAAATTTCCAAAGCAATACAGAAGGATTTAGCCATGTGGCTCCCACTGCAATCCAAGGGGAACTGAACATTTAATCCTTTGGCACTTTGAAAAAACAGGAGCTGCTGCCAGAGTATTTTATCTGCCCTGCTATAGTTAAAATAGATTTTGATGTTATTTGGGCTATTCTACTACAAAAATATGACCACAAAATGCTTTTTTTTTTTTTTTTCTTTTTTTTTTTTTTTTTTTTTGGTTCAAGAAAACATAGCAGGCTTTCTCAGGTATATAAAACTGTTAATTTTTAGATAAAAATACAAACTTCACCTTTACAAAAACACATATTTCTGTTGAATACACATAAAGCATAACATTTTACCAAAAATAAAGAATTTTAGGTTTTGTTCAAATATTTGCAGCAAGGTAGTTCCCATGCCACCATGACATTATACAATGCAAATACAAGAATTTGTACATTTCACACAGCTCCAACATGTGAAATAAAAGTATCTGTATACTGATAAGAATGACAATTGCTAACACAATATCACTAGTAGGCAACTGGCATAAGTCTTAAAGGAAAAAAAAAAAAAAGATTTTTGCATGGATAGCCTATGATTTGTTTACGCACATCTCTTTTTTTTTTTTTCTCTTTTTTTTCTTTTATGTAATGCTTTAAATTACGGGGGAGTTTGGGGAACATAAACCAAGAAACGTCTAGAAAATTATGCATAGGTATACCATTTTTATTTTAATACATCTCATTAGTTTGCATCCCACTAGGAGAAATACCATAATGTTTTGTGTTCTGCTTATTGTTATACCAGTCTTTTATATGTGTTATTGGCAAATGTAGTCCGAGAGATAATAAAAAGCTAGGCAAAGAGTAAAAAGAAAACTTAATAATCACTTTATGGTGTAAAAAAAAAAAAAAAAAAAAAAAATTCCACTTAAGGCTCCCCAGAAGGTTTTTTTTGTATAGACTTTTAAAACACCACCAAGCAAGGATGTATTGTTCTATAGTGTTTGCGTGGCATTTGATCATTTCATACATTCCTGCTTTTTTTGTGCCTGAAGTCCACCAGTGTCCATCCATCTTCATCAAGAACGCAGGCACATTTCTTGACGTAAAGCACCGTTGACTGCTCTGACAGAAATCCACTATTCACTTAGATTTTTGTCATGTTTTTGAGTACTTTTGGTATCCTCCATTCATTCAACTGTCTTTTTTTCTTTTCTGTTTTTCTTTCTTTCATTTTTTTTTTTTCTTTTTTTGGACAGGGAAGCTTCCTATTGTTTCACAGAGTGCTACAATACTTGCTTTGATGTCACATTAAACAAATGTACATTGTCTCTTTGTTCTCATTAAGTGTTCTTTTGAGCCAGTTTTTTCACACAGGAGAACAAATAAAGTATACAGTCAATAAGCACCATACATAGTAGGTTCAGGAATGTAACAAACCATGTACATCCATGTCCCAGAGAGAAGTTTTTTTTCTAGCTTATTTTCACCTTACATCTGTAGGAGAGAAAAAAGATACAATAACTCTATGATTAGAATCAAATGTCCTGTCCTCGAAGTAGATGACTTGAAAAAAAAAAACTGTTCTGCATGAAGAGTCACTAACCTGGGACAAGAAGTTCTAAATGCTGTTTTGATTGAGTCTACATGCTCACTTTTAAAGTTGAATTTTAGAAAATCTTTGCTTCTATCATACTACTCCCAATAAATACCTGTTAATCTGAAACAGGATATCCAGTTTAGCACTTTTTAGCAACGATACATCAGTATAAACGAAAAACTGCCATTGGGAGTTCATGTGCAAAAACAGGGGCTTGAAATTAAATTCACCATCATCCAGGCGTTAGGCACATACACTGAAAAATCCAAATCATTCCCACTCCAAATACTAGAATCAGTTGCAAGTGCTGCAGTTTACATCCTTTCAAGTCATTTAGAAAAGGGAAATTCCACATTTAATTTGGAATGTGTATCGCCATCATCATACACTGCTAATATGCTGGCCAAAGGATTTCAGTCATTTTTGCACTGAGAGGGTGTTAGTTTTTCACTACACTGAAAACCTCATGAATTTTGATGACTGACTGTCATCATCCTACTGAGACTGAACAGACCAAAAAAAAAAAAGTCTTAATTTTCTGGTGTAAATAACAGCATCTTCCTTGCCAGGTAGGCAGATTATCAGATGCATGAACAATCAATCCCAGTTCATGACAGAACGTGGGTTTGATGGCCACACATGTAACAGTATTTGCTGTATGTACACTCAATGTTTTACAGCCAAGGACTGGGAACACAACAATTTGTAACCTGGTAATTCATTCATGCATTATTATGGGATGCTTTGACCTCAGAAATCAATAATAATGAAACACAAGCAGAGGCAATGGAACTTGAGATTTCAGAAGCTGAAGTATTAGCACCCTCCAATAAAAAAGAAACGAAAAAGGCAAGAAAAGGAAGTAGCTAAAGAATGTAAGATGCTGATGGTGATGTGGAGCTTAAAGGGAAAATACCAGCAGGTAGAATTATCAAAGCCAATCAAATCTAATCTCTTTGCAGCCTTGAGGTAGCAAGTGTCAAGATTTTGAACAGTGATTAAGTTGAAGTGATGGTATTTGATTAAGTTTTCCAGTACTTGTGCTATTAGGGTGTTCAGCATATAGGTCCTACCTGAATATCAAATAGTTCCAGTAGGTTTTATGTTGGTTTTAACTTTTTTCGTTTCCGTTTTTTACCTGATTCCCTAGGCCTTCCTGTTAACATAAGGGCAGGGCTGGTAAAAAGCCCTAAGGTAATGCATTTCGTTGAACACTGAAGTAACAAATACTCAAACCGTTTACATTTCAAAGAAATCTCATTATCCTTTGCATTAAAGTAATAACTTTATAAGGTCTGATTTGACATTCCGTTTACAAAGTAATTATACAAAAGTAAAGAAATAATAAACGAGGTTGGCATTGCATACGTCATTTCCAAGATCCAGCTATAATTACTGTTACCATGCAGTACTCAACATTTGCTTTCAGCTCTGGAGTTAAGCTATTTTCAGCTCACCATCCACTTGCTGGTGAAAGTTTTGTTCCTATCAGTAATTAAATCCTAGAAATCTATATATTTTCCATGACAATTCTACCCCATTTTTTTAACACATATCAGAAAGAAAAATTTTCATCTTAAAATCTTAACTGCTTACTCTTTGGCGATTAAAGACAATTTGGAACAGTGGAACTGATCAAATGAAACTTTTTTTTTCCAAATAGAAGACACAGAAAATATATCAAACCATACAGACATTAAGAACAACCACTTTAAATGTGGCTTTATCTACTCATAACTCCACATAGTTCCACCTAAACACTCAGCTCAGATTATAAATTGATGTCCAATAAAATCACAGCAGAGGTCTAACTTTGCTTTTATACAAATTCTAACTCTTCTGCTCTGTTCATAGCAACTGAAGTTTACATTTGCTTGGACCAGGTTCACATCTCCATGCTGGAGGGAGCCAGTACAGAAAGCCCTTCCTCACCCAGCCACCTACAAAATCCATCACCTCTGGGCAGCTTTCCTCCTGTATTTACCTGCTCTTCACTGACTCTTAATTTTGGGCTGGGTCTACTGCACCCTTAAATTTCCTGCAGAGGTGCAAAACAAACTTTTGAGTTCACCTTCAATCAGTATCAGGAGAAAGGGAGATGTCCTTTCTATTGTAGTGGGGGTTCCTTAATGTGTGTGTCAAGCTCTGCATGGATTGCACACCAGTAAGAAGATTGTGAGATAAGATTTTAGGTTATGATTTTAGATCAATTTAGAATGATTTTATGAAAGCCAGATTGAAAGTATTTTCCCCAAGAATCTTTCCCCATTGTAACTTAAATGTTGTCTTGATAAGGCAAATTTAGGTTTAACGTGACAAACTGACAAATTCTTGACCACACGTACCTAGAAAACCAACAGGAATGGGTAATGTTGATACAAAACTAACTCCTTACCCTTGAATACTGAATTTATTCTGAAGTGCTTTACATTAACTTCATTAATATTTTCCCCAAGGTCACGTAAATCTCAGCCTTAGCCCTGTCTCCACAAAGCCTAAAGAAATCAGGCAACAGAGCTCACCAATAAGCTGCAACATGACAACCTTTAACTTAGTGAAGCAAGACCTGAATACTACTGAGCATTTACATTTATTTAAAGGCTAACCTAGTGAGAATTGATACACTTTAAACCTGAAAAGCAAACTCCTTACATAGCACAAACTGCCCCTAATTTTGCATCCTCAACACAGGGAGAAGTAGCTGGGAGCTTCTCTACTGAGTTTACTGGAAGCAACACTTGCTTTGCATTCTTTACTAATATAAAAATAAGGTCCATATGAAATCAGCATTAATGCAAAAATAAAAGGAAAACATACCAGTTTCTTCTTCTCTATAATCTGAATTAGTATTTGATGATGTACAGGTGCATTCCATATGCTCTTCTAATCTCACCAGAACTTCTTTTAATTTTGGCTTTTTTCTAACATATTCCACTTTTGCCACCTATAAAATACGATGAGGTACGTACTGAGACACATTAACATGGTTATAGTTCAGAACTGAAGACAGATAACTATATAGCTCTGTTTTTAATGTAGCCAAACCCATACAAAACGTTAGCACACTAATCATCCTTTATCTTAATTGTGCATCGTGTAACTATTTATTGCACATACTATTTGTTTACTCAAGTTCAGCAGTTTGAAACCATTTTCTTTTCCCCCAAGAGATAAAACAATTTCCCATTCATTTCGGTTTGAAGTTTTAAGCAACTCAGGTTTTCACACATATCACAATAAACTTCCATACGGATTCAAATCAGTGGTTGTTCTTGTAAACTGCCACTTTTAGCACAATCTTCTGTACATGTTGTTAAAGGCTGACAGTGAAGGTATTAGACTGGTTTGTAATTCACTTCATTATTTACAAATTGGTGTCTCTGAGCCTTCTGAATGTAAAGTGCTCAACTCTACACAACCAGGATCTGAGCATCACCTCAGAAAGCAGCAATCCCACTCCTTCTCACTTCCTGCAATAACCTGGGACTTGTTTACAAGAGCTCCCGTGAATAGTTCTTAGGTCTAAGGGAACTACCACTTGCAAACTGGATACAGCCTTTGGCCTTACTGTGGATAGCTGGCAGGTACACTATTCCTTTCCAGTCTTTCCAAGAGCACTGCTCCATTTATGGCATCCTTACAACAAAAAAGCCTGGAGGGCAAGATGAGGTTGGAGGAAGGAGCATGCTGCTGGAGCAGCTCTGACTACACACAGGTCTCTCATCTGAAGGGAACCATTATGCAGAACAGAAAGACACTGGTTGGGGGGATGCCAAACCTGAGGACATCCTGAACAGCAGGCTGGAAGCCAGGAGAGGAGGAATGGCACAGAGGGCAGGAACTCTCATGTTCTGGGGTGCTGAAACTGCTTGTGGGATGCTGGGCACTGACTTGTGCTAAGTGTGGTGGGTGTGATGGTCATGGCCATGCAAGGGAATATGGCATTACATGGGCAAAGAGAGTCCTAGAGAGTTTGTAAGGGGTCCAATGTGTCATTTTCAATTATGTTAAACACTGCAGATTAAGTGATAATCAATTGCTTGAAATGGAAATCACTGAAACAAAATGATGGCTTCTCAGTCCCATTTATCCTTTGACAAAAGGGCACTGCAATGTGGCTGTCCCAGCAAACAGGAAGACTACATATCCCATGGATGCATAAATAAGAGGGAGAAGAAGGTACAGGAGAGGTTGGTTGTGTCTACAAAAGTTACGTGACAAAGCCATAAAGGCTGGTCCAGCCAAAAGCTCCTGTTACTACCAAATAAAGCATCCACACTTACACTAGACTCTCCCAGTCATGGTTTCCTTGTGTGTTTGATGGGGATTTAATGCTCCAAATCAACCTTCACACTATGAAAATCATTCCCTTGCCCTTCCAAAATTGGAACAGTGTCACAAAATGAGAGTGGTGGCTGGAAAAACCCATCACATTCCCAGCTCCCAGAAATGCTCTTCTGGCTCTGTGGACGCAACTATCAAGGACCTCTGAATGACAGTGACAGAATCTAGACCAAAATCCTGGCCTTCTTAAAGCCAGTGGGAGATCTGCCTTTTCCTTCATGGAACAAGGAATTGAGATACATGTTCTAGTCACTGCCCCTTGTGTCAACAGGATCTGGAGATGATTTTCATTTACCCAGCAAACAAAAGTTAGAGAGACAGATGCAGTAGTAAAGTATCCACATTAAAAGGTACATTCCAAAACTGTCAGATCTCCATATAAACAGATTAGGAGCTGGCCATGACACACAACACTTTAGCTGAAAGACTCTTAACTCTGGGTCGAAGCAGTATGTTTCAAAATCTCCTATCAGAACCCATCAAGCCTTTGAACACAAAGATTCGAAAATGTATGCTACAACTGAGTCATCTGGCATCAAAGGATGACTAATCCTTAAAATTTATGAAAACAAACAGTAATTAAGACACCTCCATCGTCAGAGACAAAGAAGGAGACCCAGCAATCATGAAACAGCTTTCAGATCTGCCATGCTTATTACGGCTGTTAGAATAAACCAGTCTCATTGCAAATTACATGCAACAAAAATAAACTGTAATCAAGCTTTTAAAAGTCTGCCCTTGTTTCACTTGGTTTCCCAAACTGAAAGATATATGGAGTTCCTGTGGCTATTTGGTATTAAACTATCAGTTAATAAAAAAAAAAAAGATAATACTTTGAAGAGGATAATTAATTTACGCAGCAATTTAAAGCTGTTTTTTACTACTGCAGTTAAAATACAATCAGCACACGTTCCACTGCCCTACTTCATGCTACACAAGTTAAAGCAATGTCATTTTGTAAGACTCTGCAAATATACAAACTGAAGCAGCACAAACCAAGCAAGTTGCTGTGTTTGTGCCACCTGTTAACACCTGCTGCCACACACAGTGCTGATCTACAGTGATGAAGGCTGCAGGTCAGATTTTCAGTGGGTATAAACAGGGGTAGTTGTGAACAGTGTGAGAGCTGGCCTTGTGTGCAGATCTTTTTTTCTTTGTATTTTTCTCCCTGGTGTTTATCTTGTACAGTAACTCTCAAATGTGTTACCCAATGCCTTGAGGTGGTCAGTCCTCCACAAATCAACAAGCTTCGACTTGTCTCTAATGCAACAAAAATAAAAATCCTCAAATCCTCCAGACCCACAAAATGTCACTATATAAAAACTTTTCAAGAGAAAGGCAGTGAAATGATTGACTAACTTAAATGGTGTATAACCAGTGGCACCATCGTTGCATCAGTGTAGACTCTAGGTCTATACCCTGCCATACAGTGTGGTGGTTAAGTAAAAATGAAAATAAAATCTGATAAAAGTATGTGGTCCTATGGAAACATCATGGGAACACATTTTTCAAAGCTGATCTGGGAGAGATGAAATCAGGGACTAACAGCAGGAAAAAACTACAGAGTGAAAGCAGAAATGTCCAAAACACCTCTAGCACAAAGCCAAACCTTATGGGCAGGAACTTGCAAGGCACAGAAAGTTTCTCATGTGGTTGACAACTAAATACTGGATGGGAAATAAACCTTAAAAGCAAATGAATGAGGACACCTTTTGGAATCTATTGCCTCACTATTATGCATGCTGGTATGATGGATGGAAAACCTGTCTACGAGGAAGACATAAGTCAACAGGAAATAAAGTACTGGGGAGGCATCAGGGATGCTTTGGGGCCTGGCAAGTCACTGCTCCTGGGATAGAAGGGCAGGACTGGAGTGATGCCTTCCAGGGCACACCATGCCAGCTGTGCCTGCCCAGCACCTCAGAGCCTGGCACCCACTCTAAAAACACATTTACAGGGCACTACCCTGCCAAAATCCTTGCCTCAGAAAAGCCTCAAGGTCCAGGGGCAGCTGAAGCACACTTGGCACCCCCTTGGCCAGAGGGAATGGCTGATGTGGGGTCTCTGTGTGCTGTGTCTCTGAGCAGAGCAGCCAGACCCTGCCCGCTGCCAGGGCTCCTCACGCTCTGAGGGCACATCGCTGCTTTTCCGCCTTCACCTGTATCAGAGTTTCCTTTGTTTCTCCCATTCCTGAACTGACCTTTGATACCAGGTCCTGCCTGCAGGTCCCACCGAGTGCTGGCTGTAATCGCCAGTTAAGCCACAGCTAAATTAAACTGCTGTTTATCCTACTGACGGAAAGTCACTGAAGAAAAATGTTCTTAAACCTACAAACATGACACACAGCCCTTTTACCTACATGTCCCATTTGTTCTGCAAGGCCTTTTTAACCTCCTCAGAGACTGGGTAGCCCTGCTGAACAACTCACTCTGAATTCCTGCATTTTTTTTCCAACTCTCTTCAAACCTCTGAACAACTCCCCGATGACAGCTGAGGAGCTGCTCCTGCATTCCCTCCCTTCCAGGCCTTTTCTCTGCATCTTCCTCTCCTATTACTGTACTCCAAGAATATACTAGGTTAAACTTCCCCAGATTAGCTCAACACTGAATATGCAGAAATGGCTGAAGCTGGCAGGGCTATGGTTGAAGGCCAACCTGAGGTGAAGCTGAGCTGGATGGAGTCATTTAGCTTTTGTTTCTTAGCTTGGAAATGAGCAAACAACCATAATGTTCAGCTCAGTTATTCAAAATTAGCAGTACAGTCAAGATTTGCTTTATAAGATTAACTATTTTATGCTGCTGTGACCAAAACCACCAAGAGCACTGCCATGCTCAGTATTACAAAAAGCCTCTTCAAAAGACTCAGTTCAGAACCCCTCCAAAAAAAGCAAGTCTGGTACTTGGTAAGCACTTGGTCTCACTGGGCAGAAGCAACTGATCTGCAGATGTTACTGAAATGCTTTTGCAAGCAGAGGAGGAAATCTCTCTGTAACTGACACCAACACCCCTAACTCACCCGTTCTTGTCACCATTACTCTACCAGGAGAGAAATGCAATCCCTTCCTTCCTATCAAAGAGCAACTCCCAACCAGCCTCTTCCTTTCAGTCTGATTTCTGCAGTGCTGTGCAGGTGCAGCTTGCTATACAGAGATGTCTTTAGGGCCAGGAGGCTGTGCTCTCATAGGCTCACTCTGTTGCACTGCAAGGCAAACCTACCTTTCCCTAACCCACCTCATGAAAGCGAAATCTTAGAAGACCCATTTCAGGGAAGCTCTTCCGCCCACACCCCTGGCTTGGAGACTCCCTACAGCTCTAATTCCACAAGCCCATTCATGGTGCTTCACTGACCAGACCTCAGTGAAGGCAAAGTAAGGACATCCCTGAACCCTCCAGCTTTGACTCATGTCCCAGGAAGGGAATGCCCCAACACAAGCACCTCTACTGCTCCTCCCACACTGCCACAGCTGTCTCTTAACCTTGACTGCAGTGGCCCTCAGTAAGACAAAGAAAACACCCTCTGCTTTTGCCTGTTGGATGATGCTGACCTTTCTGGATGAACATTTTTCTAGTGTGAATGGGCCAGCTATGATCTCACTACCTTGTCAATGAGGAGGAAGCGGGGAAAGCCTTTTCAATGTTCAATCAAAAGAGAGCTTTCATGCAGTCTGACATCAGGGGAAAACACAAGCCGGCTTTCCAACTGCACCATGGAACAGCTGAGAAGGCTCTCCAAAACCGCTCCCCCTACCTTTCCAGCGACCCTCACTCTGGGCCAGCTACTCAATGGCATGAGCAGGCATTCAGCTCTAAACGTAGGATTGCCAAAAGGCTCAGAAAACCATCAATTACATCAAAGCTACAAGAGGATCTGACTCTGGAGGGCATAAATATGGATTCTGTTCTGAGAGTTCTGGTGTGACGGTGGGGTCAGCCTACAACCTTTACAATGAACATCCTGTTCCTGCTTGACCTCTTGTCCTTTTTTTCCCTGCTACTTAATGACTGTTTGGAGCAGTCTTGGAGCTTGGGAAAAAAAAAAAATGTCCTCCAAAGCTGGCTGACGTATATTGATATTGCTGGTGGCAATATATTTACACAGCCACGAAAAGCAGCTGCTCAGCTGAGCCTACTTTTAGCTTGTGCCCTACTAAAACGAATGCAAATCTAAAAGCACTACAACCATATCAGCAAACTGAATGAGGGAAGCAGGCCCAGCAATGACATCCTGCAAAGCTGCTGCCAGTTGGGAAGTTTGCAGCTTCTAGGAGACGCCTGGTGTCCCCTGCAATGGGGGGCTTGGGCAGCCAAACCTCCCTCTCTCATTTATTATCTCCCCCATCCCTGCAGGGGTAGGAAAGAAGCACAAGGTTGCAGTGTCACACACAGGTACCAACAGCAAGTTCGTAATACGTGTCTCAACTCTTTGCTGGGCACTTCCAACTGCTTTCTATGAGTTAGTTGCTACACAAAACTAACTGGAAGCTGCATCAAACCCAAAGGCAACAGCACTAAACCCTGAGGCACTTTGCTGTTTAGCTCCTATGGGGAAAGGCTTACAGTTGCAAGTCATTCAACTTCCCCAGTTTGTTCTCAGCCCTCAAATAATTATTGATCCCAATTTTTAACTCATTTTTAATTGTTTCTGCAAAGCATATCCCACAAAGGAAAGGCAGCAAGCAAAGTGTAAAGTGATTATTTTTGGAAACACTGAGGGAATCTGCTCAGATGTTTCTCCGGCTTATTTGGATGTGAAAACATTTTTCAGATATTCAGAAACAGAAAAGAAGAAGAAATCCTGCTCAGACTCATGTCTGCATGCACGAAAAACAATGAAATGGCTTAGGTGCCTGATTTTCTGTCTAGGGCATGCAGCACTAAGTGAACAGCACTTTTCTAAATAAGAAATCCATTGCAAGTACAGTGATCAGTGTGTTGTGCTGGGCAATTTTATGTTCAAGAATGCAGTGTGTTTTTTTTTTTAATTCTGCTCTTAAAATACTCAGGGCAACAAGAACTCAGAGTCTTCACAATATAAATGCTAAGTGTAAGTCTAATCTCCTACACACAGATGTAGATCAACACTACTTGTTTAAATACTGATAAAAACTAGAACACAGTGAAGCCAAATGAACATAAATATTTCACATAATATTTACTGGAAAGTCGCAATAGGGATTTTGTCTAATGAGTAAATACAGCATGAAGCTGTTGAGTCTTCTGTCCCTGGGGTAAGATAATTTGAAACACATTTTTTCAGATCAAAAGTGTTATGTTGTCAAATATAAAAGCCCAATTTAGGCTGCATAATATTTAATTAAGAAAACAGCGTTCCATACTGTGACTTATTTATTTTTTTAAGTCCAATGCCCCTTGAGTCACTTTATCTTCTTAACTTTTAAGATCTGTACTCCGCGAGATCATGGGAAAGACACAATCAACTTTATTTTCATTACAAAGGAAGAAAACCTAAAGGGAATCCTGTGAAAACCGAATCCAAACCCAAGATTTTCCAGTGATGGTGTAACTCGAAAAGGCCATCTGCTCACTCCAAACGGAGAGGAGCATTTCTATCTGATCCTGCGGCTTGGAGGATGGATAATGAAGATCCGGGTCATACCGGCACAGCCATGAAAACATGTGGAGTTTTCGGGCTCTGCAGCCAGGATTTGCTCACCTTGACACTCCTGTGGTGTATCCGGGATGGCTGGCATTTCACACTGCTGGTGTTGCAGCAGCCAGTGCAGCGCTTCACCTCCACGCAGGGCGGCCATATCAGGAAGTTGGCCGAGGTGGGATCGATCTGACTCCGAGGTATCTCGTAGATGACCGTCCGTGTCTTGCAGACAGCCGGGATGGCTTCCTCTGCGGACACAAGAAATTCACACTTCCAGGTGAGCAGTTGCTCTCACCTCACAGCACCCCGATACTTTACACCCTCTGTTAAGTGGCACCCTTAAGCTGTGAGTACTGGTTACTGACAAGTCGGTGCTGAGTGTTGTTTGCCTGCCACTAAACTGTGCGTGCTACCCGAGGGAGAAGCTTGACTCACTCCCAAAAGCCCAGCCCTGAAATGAGGGTTTACAATGGCCTGGCTCCCGACATAGCTCGGAGCACAAACCATTAGATAAGACAATCCTGGCTCTTTAGAAGTGACAGCAAGCCAGGGGATCCTCCAGATTTGACGACCCTCTAATACAGCCTCATAGCGACTGCGTAACAGCAGCTGTTGTTTTCCAGCACTGGGGCAATCACTGCACGCACATGGTATCACACAAACATGCAATACCTGGCAAATACCACCTCAGCAGTTCCACTCAGGATATATGAGTCATACTGGTTCAGCTGGGAGAAAACCTGCACCAGCTTGAACCTTTCGAGTCTTGGCTTTCCACTTCCAAAACCTTAACATCCCTGCCATTACATCCAAAACCTTAACAACTTACTGAGGTTATCAAAGCTTTGTACATGGTGGGTTTTATTTAATTTATTATTTCTTGAATGAGGTAAAACCACAAGAGTAGCGTGACCAAAAAATCTGCAGCTAAACCAAATCCTGCTGGGCCTCAGGTAAGGTGAGCCTGCAAACCACAGCTTCAGCCACATATTATATAGTTCTGAACTACTGTGTGATGCTGCCATGATCCAAACCATTTATCATTCTCAACCTAGGGACTGCCTAAGAAGTCAAGCTGATATTTCAAAACGGTCCAGCAAAAAATAGCAGTCACAGGGACAAGTTGTTTGACGATAAGTTCTCCACAGACATCTTGGATTTTTTTTTTTTTTTTTTTTGCCTTACAGTGGAAGCAGTGATAGCTTTGGGTTAGATGTGTCAAGGAACTGGAACACTGCCTGCACTTCTTCAGTTACTTCTGAAGTACAAGAAGTTCAGGCCTGGCCTGTGCCTGTAACATGAAAATCTAGGCTTAGGTTTGAAAGAGACGCATTTCAATGGACTAAATAGAGTGAAAATTCTTTTTCTCAATCCCCAGTGCCGTGAACTCAAGAAAATTAACGGATCCAATACCACAAGATAGCTGGCAACTCCTGCAAGTTATTGAGCATATCCAGTTCCCACTGACTTTTATGGGGAGGCATTCAGCACCTTGCAGGGTAAGGTGCCAAGCGTAGCAGACTGTTTCAGAACCGCTGTTCTCTAGAGGCATTCAATGTGACGAGCGCGCCTGCCAATTCACACTGCAAATCCACGCTGACAGCATGCTGTGCTATCTCTGAGTACCACCACAGCTGAAAGTACAAATAGACTGACTCTGAACTACCCATCACAGATAAGATCATGGATGTTTTCCACAGTCAAATGGGAACGGCAGAACACTCAGACCTAATCAGATGGACAAGCACTGATTACAAAGCCTGGTCTAGCATCTCTTTACATTTATATGTGGGCTTTGCTGGGTCACCATCATCATTGCTTAATAAGAATAAAATCCCCTGTAAACAGGCCTGGTGCCCCACGCAGTGATGGAAATCAATGTCCCAGCGTTTCCATCAATGGCTTTTAATTTTTAGGATAAACTGTATTTTTCTTGTGAATAAAGAGTCAAGCTGTTTCCTTTTGTGGAGCTTCTGTACTGAAAACTCTACCAACTGTTGATGTTTTTTAAAGCACACTGCTGTAGTTGTTCCCCACACTATGAATTATACATTGAATATCACAGCATTTTCTAACCGAGGTCTAGCTTTCGAACATGCTGCAACAAGAAAGTGAATGTAAAGAATTTGTGCTTGTCTGTCTCCTATGGACATCCTCCAGAAGAAAGACAGCTTCTCAGGCAACGGCTCGTTTTGTGCAAAAAGAAAGGCAGACACTAGAAATGGCCTTTTTTTTTTTTTTTCCCTTTGTGTGTGTCACATTTTTCCAGTGAAATGTCCCGCTTGGCTGACCAAAAGCACCCCCTCTGCTTTCACTCCCAAAGTACAAACAGCTTGTTTCTTACCAATGCTTCTTTTTCTGCGAATGGGCACAGGACGATTCTCTTGCACATGTTTAGCAGAATGAACACTATAGGACCTCAAGTTTGTTTCTGAAACATCATCGTATCCTAGGACAGGAAACAAAATATTAAACCTCAGGTATGTTATTTGCATCGATGTCTCTACAGCGCTGTTCCCTCCATACAAATCTGTGCCGTTCATATGCACAAGACCAAATCCTGCTGCTATTAGTCTAATGTAACTCCTGTCAATGCAATTGCAAGGGCAAAAGGCAGGGAAGACACAGACATAGTTAAATGGCATGTATAAGCATGCACAACTTAATTCTAATATCCATTTTACCCTGAAACAGGGCACACACTGTGGCAGAGAACCCTATCTAAAGTAAAACAGTTGCATTTTTATGTGAAAGGCATAATAAAGCTTTTCTTACAGGAAAGGTGGAGAAATAGGAACAATAATACTGCACGTGAAATGTTTCTTACAAGCATTTTGAAGTTCTGGTATGAGGCTACAGTAGAAAATATGGTATTACAGACCCAACAGCAACAATGCTGCCTCTGTAAATTTTCTCTTCCTTGGTTTTCAGGGCAGTACTAGGACAGAATCAAAAGCAAAAAGTAACTAGCATGGGTTTCCTTTTAGCCTCTCTGTTGCAGAACAAATCCCCTGTGAAGTATCCTAACCTTTGGAGGGGCATCTGAAGCTACTGCAGACTCTGGGACTGCATCCAGGCTTGTCTTGTTCCCTAAATAAGCCTACCACATGGGTTAAAGGGCCATGAGAAAAAGCAAAGATGGAAAACTTGGCATTTCATTTATCATAAAAAACAACAAAATAACTGCTCCAACTATTTGGTTTTGTTAAGTGAAGCAGTTCAGGTCGTGTCCCATGCAGTGGGGTTCTGAAAACGACAAGCACAATCTGCAAACAGGGGATCAGGAAGATGCAAGCAAAGAGAGGACTGCACACAGATTCCAATACACCAAAACTAAGGGGTTTAGCACTCTGCTGCTTGGAGTGTCCTCTGTAACATCACTGGAGAGTTTCAAAGTTTCACTGCTGGCTCCACAAAAAATGTGGTGTGCACTGAAAAATGTAAGTGGATATTACACAGGACTCAATCACCCTCTCTGCAAGCTACCAACATCCTACACTCCCATCTTCTGCACTGTCACGCTCCCTGCTTCCAGTTCCTTTTCTACACACAGTTGACTGTGATTCTGGAACTTGTTTTACTCTCAGCTTTACTAGGTGCACACATCATCAGGTTCTGGTCTACAAACTAACCAACTCCTCTCCTCCTCCCTCCAAGAAACCGTGCCCTAAGGAACACAGAGCTTGTGAAATCACCTGCAGAGCCAGGTAAGATGTGAAGACAGCAGTATCTTTAGCACCTCAGAAAGAGCTCTGTGCCTCAGGGTTTATCATCACTTCTTGGAAAACACTATTTTAGGTAGCTAAGAGAAGATATAATGGGAGGTCCAAGAGATAGTGCCAGGATCACCCACCGCTCCTGCCTATTCTCCTTATCAGCTGAACAGATCCTTGTATGAAATAAGTCATTGTGAAATCCAGAGTCTCATTTTACCCAAATAAACTGACTCCTACTTCCTATGTAGGGTGTTTGTTTCCCATAGATTTTGATGGGAAATTTTGGAACCTGACCAATTATCTGGTATTGGGCCTTATTTGCAGTCCCAGTCCTGTAATGTAACACAGCAATGACTAATGGATTTTATTTCTGCTTTTATTGTACCCCATACTCCAGAAAACTCATCAGTGGGATAAATAAAATGGCTTGCCAGAGATCCCACAGGAAGTTTGCAACTGAGCTGGGGAGTGAAGCCAGGTCTCCCACATTCCCATTCCAATGGCACCAGGCCATCCACCTGATCCCAAATGGTGTTATGCAAAATGAGGATCCGTTCTGATGTGTCTCCAGCCCTCTTCTGTTTCCTAGCACTCAGCCACCCAACACCTTCACACTGACCTCCTTTCTGGCAGCTTCGAGTTGTCATAACCTCTCCCTCAATCTGAGGCAATGAAGTGATACTCAAAAGAAAGCAGCATGAATTCTGCTCAGCCTAAGATCCAGGCTAGGCTCAGAGCAAGAAGCATCTCTGTCCACAAGCAAACAGTGCTTAAAAAGAGATGAAACACAAAACTAAAGCCTCTAATCCAAACTGCTTGGTGGGCACAGGCATCCTGCTGAAAAGAGAAACTGTGGATGCCACCAGCTGTACAGTAGCTCTGGTCTACAGGTCCTAATCCCACACACAACACACTGGCATAGCTCCCCCTTCTACCACGATGGATTCCTTGCTGTCTTGTTCAAAGAAACTGGTTAGACTAAAGGACTAGTATGATCAGCTAACCAATATGTTAAGCCATGTGCTTATATATAACTGCTCGACTCAGCTGCAATTAGCCATATTCCATCGTCATGTTTACAAAGCAAAATGACACGTCGAGGAGCATGTGTTGCTTATAAGATGATTTCTAAGGTGAAGAAGGCCCCTGGCTCATACTGTATCTCACTGTCTCACTACATATCTTAAACATGTATATCATTTCCTAAGTTCATGTCTCTGCTGTGAGGGTTAAAAGAAGAGATCTACACAGCTAGCACAGCAGACTGCAAAACAAGTTCCAGTCAAACCTCAGTGCATTATGCAACACAAATTCTATTATTTCTATCAACACAGCATCCATGTTGGGTTTTTCTTAATAAACAGAATTACAGAGCGCATGTCTGGAGCCAGAAGACACTAAAATGCTAAAGGCACTTGGCATTCCCCTGATCCCCACAGGCATTTGGAAGAAATTCCATTTCCCAGTGAAGTCAATGGGAAAATCACTGCACTTCAAGCAATCTCTAAGTCAACAGGAGTCTTGCCCAAGCAGGACTGAAAAAATCACCAAGTCAGCTTTGAAACTCACACTGGACCCTGGATGTACAGCCAGAAGACTTGTTTGTACTTCACCTAAACTACAATGCTACAAACAGCACTCTCTGGTTTGACTTAACTAAGGCTGATACCTAATTTGCATCAGTTTTTCCCCCTAATGTACTGATTTAGTTGCAGGATAAGCTCTTAGCAAAGGAAATGGGAGTTTATGGGTGCTTAGCGCCTCACAAAATGAGGCTCAGAGCAGAATGCCTACAAACGGGTGGTTCTTAGTTTAGAAATCGAACACTGCTTGTCACCAAGTGAAGATGGAGGATGCTGCACAGAGCAAGATTAATGCAGCTCTCTTTTAACGTTTTAATAATAAAAAAATGTTTTCGTGGCAGCCGATCAAGAAATTTCTCTGTAATCTTTTATGTACTGACAACATATCAATGATGGGCATAAAAACTCTTGCAATTAGCCTTGGTCAATCCATTAGTGTAGCTGAAATTGTTCTTTTTTGTCAGATTGGCAATTTTCCACTGGGTCATGGAGTATATATCACAGAGTTCCTGTGACACTCTGCCAATACGTGATTACTCTTCTCCCTGAAGAAGCATGTGGAAAGCATCCTAAGTTTACTACTATTTTATATTTATCAGTTTATACTTTTGCATTACCATCTTCCTCTTAAACTACTTTGTGTGAGATACAACCCCCAATACATGCAGTCTTAACACAAACCCTCCTAAGAAGTCACTTTGATGTGCATCCAGAATTACAGATCCAAGACTTCTAGCACCAACAGCAGCAGTTTAGGAAATTCTCATTATCTTCTTTTTCTCAGGAATTCAATGTAAGGTACAATAAACTGAAATGGTCTGTCTTACAAATCGGTCCTAGAGCCAGAAAGCCCAAGGCAACATCAGACTGTTTGTTTGATCTTTTTGGCTGATTCAAAATACGCCCTTCTGACATCCAACTGCAGAGATAGATGTCATTAAGTTTTCAACTTTGATCTATTGAAGGAAATATAAGTAACAGCCTGCAAGATCCTGTTTTGTTTAGGTTTTTTTTTTTTTCCTTTACCTAGATGTGATCAACCATCTGTAAAGGAGGAGGAGTATTCCCTCATCTGTCTCAGGAAAAACACAGGACACACATGGCAGATGCCCTCCTCTCATAGTGCCTAAGAGGTGCAAGGAAAGCCAACACATTGCCCTGTAACATCCTCCATCTGAGCACCACACCGAAAGCCACAAAGTCAACAGCAGATTTTCCAATAGACTGAGCTCTGCAGCAATCTAACACTTCTCCATGAAAGTATTACTGTTAATTTAGAACATTTCTCCACTTAACAAAAGCTGCTCTGCTAGTTCTTAATCACAGGCCGTTAAATTCACATGGCCTAAGGGGACCCTGCGGTGGATGCCCTTAAACCATGCAAAGAAGCACACTCAGCCCTGCCTTTCCCCAAGCAGGGAGATGACTGGGAGAAAATCTGTTCCCAGCGGGAGGCAAACATAATAGGTGATGAAATGAACTCTACCTCCCACAGGACAGACAGAAGAGGTGAAGCGCGAGGAGAAAAACCACCCCTGCTAAGCCGAAGAGAACTTCACAGGCAGAACATAGGAAATGCCCCCGTTTCCGTGGTTTAGTCTGCTCGTAGTAAAACTGTACTCTGCACACTAGAGCTGCCTACTTCCTGGGGCTGGGCACGCTTTCTCCTTCAAACAGGGTCAGATTCTGCTCTCCCTCACGCCAAGGCAATTCTGCCACTGCCTACGGGTCCCAACCACAGCAAATTAATACAAGAGCCTATTTTCTGATGTGAAGAGGGAACTTTCACGTTGCCTTTTCGGACATGCAGCACTGGAAGCTCTCAAACTGGCCTGGATTTTCTTTTTTGAATACAATGCTGGGTAGTGTTTTTCTTTAAGTAATATGCCAGATGGTCTGGGGGTGTGGTTTCTAATTTTATGAAGGGGGTTATCAGTCATCTCTGCGCTACAATATAGAGACCAAATCTGTCAGAATAGAAGAAAAACCTGCCCACTCTGACTTACAAAACTTACTTTTCCAATTAAAAATATATGTTTTTCACTGCAGGAGAGAAAATGACTGTTCTTCCTTCATTTTTCACAGATTCTGCCTTGTTACTCAGGAATATCAGACATTTTCTGCATGCATGCCTGATCCTGCAAACTCTTAGCCTACAAGATCATTCTTAATTCTCAAGTCCACCCACAGAGTTTAAACAGGGCTACTCACATGCAGAAGGACTGGCAATACCATACACTAAAATGAGGGAGAGAATAGTCACTGGAGTGATTTTGCTCTGAGCCTTAGTTTAAAATGAGTATACGCTACAGAAGAGAAATATACCTACTGTACAAGCCCTCACTGAACTAGCCCTTCCCTAAAGGCAATTGCAGCCCTAAGGAAATGCATTTCAGAAATATCAACTTACTAGGGAAAACTAGAAAACATTTGATTCGCTAATTGAAGCTAATACTATATATAGTAAACAGGTCTGATCCTGTTTACTGAAGAAAGCATGGCAATTTCAATGTTTGATTAGTCATTCTGATAAGCCCTTAGTAAGAATTACTCATGACAGTAAAGCCCGTGGGACTGTGCCCAGAAAATGCAAATGCTGGTAGTAAAGACAGGTTACTCTGAAAAGACCCAGTAGCTCAGAGTACAGCTCAGCACACGGGCAAAGGGAGCACTCACATAAGCAAGAACCGGGTGAAAGGCTGAATATTTTGGTTTTATTTTTTAATGTTGTTTGAGTTCATGTCTTAAGGAATTACTGTTTCATGTTGAAATAGTAAAATATTTATGTGTCTTGTTTCTCTAATGGTTTCTAAACTGACAAATTGCAAGAAAACAGCAAAATGAAATGGTAAACTCGTGGCTGACCTCTTCCATTTTTGGTCTTGCATCCCCTGGTTAATATTCGCTGCGAGGTAAATAATTATGTTCAGAAATAAATTTCTCTGCTCCATCTACTAATTTGTTCAGTTCCTGCCATTGCTCCACTTGTCTGCTTGATTCTCTTGCAATGGAGCCACGTGAACTTTTGCTCCTCTTCTAAGTTGTATTTAAAAATGAAGCATGTGCTTCTTACACTGAGGTATTTGAAAAAATAATGTATTCTGGTAGCTACAGAACCCTGACTCAAAGGCAGAAGCAGCATACACTATTTTAAAATGTGAGCACTCAGATCCAGCCCTTCTGCAACAGCAGCCAACTCCACCGAGTTCACTGGGAAAAAGATTTTAGCAGTAGTGCACTTGTCTGGTCCAAAACAGCCTTCACTGGGGAAATATGTACTGCATACCCTTTCCCTGTTGTGAAAGTTTCTTTAATTGCAGTGATAAACAACAATGATGAAGCACTGCTCTCCAAAAATACTAAACCGATGCCAATCTGGTAATCAGTAATTAGCCTCCATGGTAAAGTGTTGTGCGAGAGAGAAATATTCCCATTTTCAGTGTAATGGGAAACCGTTTGCTCCCTAATCACATGAAAATTGAAAGCTATGCCTGCAAAATACGTTCCTAATGCATTCCTGCTCATTAATAGAGCACTGTACAAAAAGCAGTGAGTTAAACTCTAGAAGGATCCTGCAACAGTGAATGAAGGTGATTGAACCTGGCACAGACTTTACAAAAATACACAGCATATGGTTTAAAAGGAGATGGCCCAGTACCAATGCAAGCAAGAACTCATTCATTTTTCTCCATGTTTGTGCTTCAGCAAGATGCAGGTTTCCCTTGGGCACATCAAAGGTGCCGGGCTTATTCTCTCTCAACTGAGGAAAGAAATCATCAGGAACAAAGTGCATCAAGTGAAACCAAATGATAAGAAACCCAGCAATACAGTGCTTCTAGATCTGATTTACTGCTGCAACGATCTGTTTAACTGCACGTTCTCACTACACCCATTTGCATGCCTAATGATGCAGAAAATAACCCTGCACTATTTTCTTTTGGAGAGAAAAAAAAAATGTATTTTTCAGGGTAAGCTTCATATGCAGGTTCCTGTTTAAAATCAGCGTGGACGGTTTATTTTCCTTTTAATAAAGCCCAGCTCTTGAAGAGACATTACTTCATTCATAAATATTGTTTCAAATATTTTAAATACCTCTAGGACAGTAGTTTAAAGATAACAGAGCAATGTAAGACCAACAACAAACCTCGGGGAAATTCCTCTCTCCGCTTGAGAGACGGAGAGGTCTGAAAACACAGGGGGTCACCAGGTCCCTCTCCACCCTGAACCCCTTGAAGTTTTGATTCCCGGTCGGCCCCTTGGCCGCCGCCTCCCTTCTGACAACAAGCCCAGCACCGAGGCCGGGTCCCCGCACGGGTCTCGCCCCCGAGGCGCGGGGGCCGGAGCGCTGTGCGGGGGCCGGAGCGGGGCGCGGGGCCGCCCGCGGTGCCTCCCCCCGGGGCGGCGGCGGCCGACGGCGCGGAAGGAAGGAGGACGGGACTAATTTACCTACGGAGTCAATCTCCAGGAGGCGCTGCAAGTCGCGGATGCTGTGGATCTCGCTGTGCGCCAGCCGCTCGATGAGCTCCTGCGGGATCTCGGCCTCCTTCAAAGACACACACACACCGCGGGTCACCGCGCAGTCCCCGCCGGGCGCGCCCGCAGCGCGGAGCGCTCGGCGCGGCGGGGCTCTGGGGTCTCAGGAGGGGCGCGGGGTGTTCGCGGGACGTGTTTGGACTAAGCAGGAGAAAACCCCACGCGCATACACACCCACCCCCGCTCCCCACGGAGCGCTCCCGCCGCCCCCGCCTGCGCGTCCGACTGCGCCACGACTCGATCCCGCACGGCCCGGCCGGGGTAGCGTGTGCCCGGCAGGGATGTGCCCCCGAGCCCCCCTCGGCGGCTGGAGCCCAACCCGGGCAGCGGCTGCCGAAGTTCGCCCGAGCGGGTGCCAAGTCCCCCACGGGCGCGGGCTCCCCCGACCCGGGGAGCAGGAGGAGGAGGAGGAGGACCGCGTCCCACGGGGCCTCCGCCATCCTACCAGCGCCCACGACGCGGCTCCCAGCGCCAAGCAGACCCGGTCCCGGGAAAAGTTACCGGAGCCGCCGTGCAGCGCCGAGCACCCCGCTCGCCCCGACCGCGGCCACCTGTAGCAGCGCCACGGCGCGGCTCCGCGCCCCAGCGGGCGGGCTGGCTCTCGGCTGCTCCGGGGGAGCTTCACAAACCGGAGAGGGGCGTTTTGGGGCGGGTGGGGGATTCGCCCAACTTCTGCCCGCGGCACTGGCGGTGCCCGCGGTGCAGCGCCGGGCGCCGCGGGGGCGGCCGCGCCGGGCCGGGCGGCTCCGCGCACCCTCGGCTGCCACACAGCCGCAGCCCGCTGGCACCCGCGGGGCGTGGATATTTTACCATGCGTTTATAATATATGTAATACATATATTATATACGTATATATAATTTTTTGAGGGCAGCCAGCAGCCTGGGAGCGGAATGCACGGTCATTCCCCTTCGCCTCTGCCATGCGTGAAATGGCAACTTGCTCCCAAGCCTCAGCCGCGCAGGGCCTGGGGCAGGGCAGCGCTGCCGGGGGGGCCGGGACGCGGGGATGCCCGCGGAGCCCAGGTGGGCAGCCCGCTCCCTCCCCGATGCCCTCCGCCGCGGCTCGCCCCGACCCCCGGTTGCGGCCGTGCCCCGGGGACCGGCAGCGCAGGGAGCCGCTCTCACCTACCTCGGAGAAGGTAAAGGACAGGTAGCCAAAACCTATCAGCAAAACGCAAGCCCAGGTCCTCATCGCGGTCTAGTGCACTTTAGACACGGAGGGAAGGCAACGCTGATGGAGAGGAGCTGCAGGCCGGCTCCTGCCGCGCAGAAATTCAGTACCATCCCTCAGGGGAAAGGCAGCGGGGTGGCTCGGGGTCCTCCGCATCCAGGGGTGGGTCGGGGCTGCCCGGGGCGGCGGTGGCTTAATGACGGCGCGGCCGCTGTTTGTACGTTCCCCTCGCTACGGGAGCGTGGCTGCTCTCCCTTCTGCCGCTCTCGCTCGCTCCTCTTGGCTCTTAGGACTAGACCAGCCGGTACTTCTGCATATTTGCTTAGATCAGACCAAAGTGAAACCCAAGGAGTCGATCCGGAGCGCAGCCGAAACGCCCATCACCTGTCTGGGGCGGCTGCCCCCCTCTCGCGGGCGGCGCTGGGGCCGCCTCCCCCCGCCGCCGCGGCCGCGCTCCGCGCCGGGACCGCGGGGCTGCGCTCTCCGCCGAGGGCCGGCCCCCCCCTGCCGTGCCTGCCCTCCACCCGGCCCCTCCTCGGAAAGGGGAAAAATCAAAAATCTTTATTATAGATACGGAGCGAAATGTTTTCTCTTGTCGAGAATGGTCCCGCTTCCCTCCCCGGCGGAGGGGGGTGGGGGCGAGGTCAAAAATAATAATTAATTAGGAATAATAGCAGGGAATTAAATCGGAGCAGTGTTGCAGGATCTCGCGGGCTGCCTTGGTGCAGTTCCTGCTCCACTTTGCACGGGAGAAAAAGAGAGGAGGAGAAGGAGGAAGGGAAAAAAAAATATATATATATATGCAAGAAGGTTTAAATCCCAAGGGGATCGGAGACGAACTGCAACTCCAGGCGGAGGGAGGGTCCGGGCTCGCTCCGGAGCGGTGGCCGGTCTGGAGGGTGGCCCCGGCGAGGAGCAGCATATACCGCTCCCGCCCCGCCGTGCGCCGCCCCCGCCCCTCCTCCCGGGTGCTCCGGCACCAGACCCACCAACAACAAGTCGTGGGGGTGCCGGCAGCTGCGGCGCCTGCTCGAGGGCGAGGGGGCTCTGCCTTCTGCGAGGGGAAAACAAGGAGCCGGCGGCGGGCAGGGGCCGGGGGGAGCAGGGCAGCCCCCGCCGCCGGCCCTCTGCGGCACCGGGCGGGGGGCGGGCGCTGCTGCGCAGCAGCCGCCGTGTAACCTGGCGGGATCGGCCGTGTGCCCTGCCTTTACATAAGGCACAGCGGATCGCCATGGCCACGGAGCGATCCTGTGTGTGTGTGTGTGTGTGTGCGCGCTTTCTTATCGTTGTTATTATTTTTAGCGGAGGGCGGGGGCTTTCCTTTGCAGAAGGGGAGGGGCGGCAGAGCGGCGGAGGGTTGTGTTGGGGGGGGGATTTAACGTTGCTGTTGCAGCGTAGCCTTCACTGCGAAGGAGAACGCGCACACGCGGAGACACACACCCCTTAAGGGACACAAAATCACCCCCAAAAAGAACGAAGGCAGCGGGGGGTGGTGTGCGGGGGGCAGCGGCGCCCTCCGCCCTGCGGCACCCGGCTGCGGCAAGCGCGGGCGCGGGGCTCCCCGCCGCGGCCGCGGGGACGCGGCGCCCCGGGGCTCCGCCGCAGCCGGACCCACCCCCCTCAACCGCACCGGCACCCCGCACCCTCACCAAGCTGTCTCCGAACCCCGCAGTCGGCCCCAGTCCGGCCCCGCTGCTCCGTTCGCGTTCCCTTCGCATACTCCCTCCCCGCTGCCCCGGCGAGAAAACTGCCCCCTGCTCCCCGGCGCAGATTGGCACAAGGTGCCTGCTGCACCCTGACATCTCCCTGAACTCATTGTGATTTAAATAACAGCCCTTTCTCATCTAAACAAAGCTTCTTAATAGCAGATGCAAAGAATTCGGCTCATCTGAAAATCCAATAGCATTTAAGTGGATTAACTGCAATAACACAACTGAGGAGTGATACTATCCTTCATGGAAGACAATAGACTGTAAATGCACAGCCAGGGAGACTTATCCTTTCATCTCTGAATTTCCTTCAGCATTTCAAAAGCGAATGCTTTCTAGAAGCCCTGAAGGGGTTTGCACGCTACTGGCTTGGACATGCTTCTAGGAAACAACCTGTGCTTTAATGGGCACTTTGCAATTGCATAGAAGTTCCCACCAAAACAGAAGTGGCCTTTCAAGTACATTTAATTCTCTCTCATGATGTCATGTAGGCTTACAGGGTGGTCTCCAGGACCACAAGGGGGGGAAAAAAAAGGTGGGGGTTGAAAAGAGAGAAAAGGAAAAGAGATGTAAGAGATTTGGAAGCACTTTAAAAAGGGGAATGCTGCTACTTTTTTTTTTTTTTCAAGACAGAAAATGCTGAGCCAGTGTGGAGCCATTCTCAAATGCCTCCTGATATAGAAAAAATGACCCGAGTGCCACACTGCAGCAGAGCCATCCATGCAGGGCAGGAGGAGGCAGAGCAGGGCAGGGCACTCTCGTAGTGCCATCACTTTCTTACATGGCAGAAGTAAAAAGTGATGACTTCAGTTAAAAAAAAAGTCTCATCTGCACTTATCATTTGCTGGGGTTAAAGAAACAATTCTTATGCTCTGTGTTGTCATAGTAATAAAAAAAAATAATTACCAAACAGTGAAATAGATTCTGACCGTACCAGCTGGCTGAGCATTTACCCCTCTCCTTCCTCCCTTCGTTTGCTGGAGTGTTTGGGATCAGAAGTGCTGGGTATTTGTAGCTCTTGGGAGTGGTATTCCACTGTGAAAACTATTAGAGATAACTCCTGCTTTATCTATCGATTAAAAAAATCTATTCAGTTTTGATTTTTTCTTACATTTCTCTCATTTTTACAAGAGACTACTGCATCAGCATCTTTTTTAAATCTGTCATTGTGGAGCTCAGATAAGCATCTTTCCTCTGGGTCAAGTTACACTTGGAGTAGCTTTTAACATTAGACTGTTTATGGGGATCATTGCAAATATTTGATAATAATGCAAAATATGTAAGATCCCAGGAGAGAGCAGAGGCCAGGGAACATAAATAAAATTCACACAGATTCTGCAAACAACTTTATACTTGGGTTGTCTGTCTGCTTACAAAACACATTTTGTCCCTGTCTGTTGTTTGATCTAAAAATGCATGTGTGCCCTGTAAGTCTCTACAAGCACGCAAAGGTACAGTTGTGTGAAAAACATCACACCAGTGCATGTTTGCTTCATCATGGCACCTTCCTGCAGTCTGCACATCTCTCACACACGTGTGCACCAGACGTGAAATAGCATCTTTTACGTAACACCTACAAGCCAGGCGTGAGGAAAGAGTGACAGGATGGCAGTTATAGGTTTAAAAGAAAATCAGTACGAAGAACGGAGCACCAGAACATTAGGGTTTGCACTTTTTTTTATTTATCTGAGAGCAGCGAGCAAGATACTGCCTTGTCTAATTTAAAGCACGTACTGTTAGAGAAGTCCCTCAAATGTCAGGAATTATAATAGAATTACACCATGACAGAGCGTTTAGAGGGAGGATTCCCAGGGTTTGCAAAGCACTTGGCATGGGGGAAGGGATGCAGAAGCTCTTTGACACAAAATGAAACCACTTCAGTGTCACCAGTGCTTTCTGCAAGCGGTGCCACCTGAAACCAGGGTGCCCCAAATCAGGCTTCCAGCACCCACTACAGAGCTTGCTTAAATCTCTGCTGGCTCAGTTGTTAGATACATAGGTCAAGCCATGCAGCAGGACCAACTCATGTTTCACAGACCTGTGCCAGGCTGCCATGCACGGGGGCAGCCCGGCTGTGGAAAGGTCACTGGGAGAAATGCAGTGCAGGGATGGGCACCAAGGTGGGCACTGTGGTGCTCTGAGGAGGCTGAAGCCACAGGGGCCACTGGGATGGCTCCAAGATTGTACCTTCAGCCTGTGGCTTCTATTTCAGATGTCAGGCTGAAACCACATTTGCTTGGCCCTCCTCACAAGTCCTGAGGTTGAAAGAGGAATCATTTCATTGCATTTCATGACATTCCTGCTGAGGGAGTCTTGGGAAACCTATCTGAGTGTTTTTAAGACTTGATTTTAGTGGGGATTTTGCCTCATAGATTAAAGTTAAAATTAACAGAACAGTGAGTATGGGTAAGGGTTTTTGTTGGACGGGTGGCCTGTGTTTGGGGCTGGCCAAAGCGGCTCGGTATCTTCTACAGGATATATCCCACCACAACAGCTTAGAAAGGACCAGGAGGCAAGAGTGTCCTGGCTCTGGAAAGGGACCGTAGGAAACACTCTCAGGTCTCAGATTTGGACCTGCAGCGTTCTGTGTCAGTTGCCACAGAGTGTATAACAAAGGATAAAAGTTCAGAACATAAAATCTAGAAAGCTGGACAGGAATCTCACCCACTTTGGGTGGTTCCTCTTGGTTTTGAACATTTCTTTGGCCTGTCCATGTGGCCGTGGTGTGGGGGAGGTCGTTTTCCCACTGTGCAGCTCGATTCCTGCCTGGCTGTATTAACAGGCACGAGGCTGGCACAGGTGTAGGTGAAGTACAGGCAAGGAATTACCAATGCAGAAAGCACTGATGGCAGACACGCCATTCCATTTCCTGAATCTTAGCCAATAAAGAGCAACAAGGAAAGCTGCAAGAAGAACAAGCAAGGCAGTTACTATTCCAGCTGGTACACCTACAGACATGATTTCCTTCTTTCTCAGCTCTTCCTTTTGGATCCTTGCACTGGCTCTGTCCTTCTGGCTGAGCTTTGTTGTCTTTGAAACTATTGTTGGTGCAGCTTTCCAGATGCTTTCACGCTTGATAATTTTCTTAAATAGTCATGAGATGCAAATCTGCTACAAGGTTTCAGCTAAATGGAGTGATCAGAAGTGGTGTGGAAAAGATTTATGATGTCCTTTCCCTGAACACAGGGGGTGGCCGTGGCCAACATCCACCTACGTGAGTTTACTCTTAAAGGCACGATATTTCTGAAGATGCTTTGCCGTACAATGAGTGGGGCAGGGTCCCTCTAGAGCTGATCCTCCACCCAAAACTGCCCTTTTGACTTTAGTGGGGGTTAGACCCAACTCTCCCTGAAGAAATGGTTTGGTCTAATAGCTGAGAAAGACAGTAAAGCTCTTGTCAATGTGCTCTTCTCTCTCCCCTGCCCAGCTGCTTCTTACCCAGGAGGTTCAGCAGCACAGCCGAAAGTGAGGGGCCGTTTGACCTTCCCTGCTGCTGGAGCCACTGCTGAGTGACACAGTTCACCTTCAGGGCTGGAGCACAAACTGGCAGCTCTGCCAGCCTGGGTAGCAAGATACCATGTTTAGGCATTAAACTAGGGCACTTGCATACCAGCACTGGCCGCTATTTTGGTGGGTGTATGAAGTCGATCCCTGCTCCCCACCCCTGTGGGACAACGGAGCTGCTATGAGTGCGGGATATCCTCTGCCTGGTGGATAAAGCTATTACAAATGGGCTGTGTTTTGTCAGGAATACGTAGTTCATCCAGCTGAATGACTGTAAAAGTACCAGCCCAGCTTAAGGTATGCTGATGCACGTTGTAAATGAGAGCAATACACACAGGGCTCAGCGCCTGGGGTCCCGTGCGTAGTGTGCTCATGTCTCCTTGGCAATGTGGGTGTAAAGCTCTTCTCCTCTGACTCAAATCAAAGCCAGTTGCAGTGATTCTGTGGAGACCATCCAGGATGTAACTCAGCCATGCTAAGTACCATAAAATTGTGATATTATTCTTCATTGTTTGTAGCTTGGAGGCCTGTAGAGGCCTAGCTTGGAGCAGTCAGTTTTATTAAGCTCCATCCAAACACAGTGAGATAGTTGTTCTTCCTGAAGAATTCGTATTCTCAAAGTGCAAGCCGCCCCGTTTGTGTTCTTGTATCTATGCAACCTTGTTGCTCTTACAACATTACACATTTG